ACTAAAAGCTCAGGGTCAGGTTTACGTTTTGACCTTACTGTTGGGGAGAGGTTCAAGGTAAACACAGAGACCGAGAGGGGGAGGGAGATGGGAGCAACATAGGAGTGAGTCCTTCAGGCTCATTAAATGGAACTTCCTGGTTGAGTGGTGGTTCATTATTTTTGCTCAATGGGGTATTGTTCTGTTCTGTTGAATATGACCCCTCCCACTTTGTGTGCGCGGGTAAAACTGTTGATTCAGTTCACACCCCTGCTGTTCCTCTAACCAAACTGTAACCTACTCAGACTCATACACACATAGGCCCCCCCCCCACCACTCTCACAGACACACACGCACCCATCACTCACACAGACACACACATTCCCCCACACACACTACCCTCACTCATGCTCACGCACACTACCCTGAATCACACACGCGTGCCCCTCCCCTCACACACACACGTGTATTATTTGCTCTGCTGGACAATGTATTGGGATTGTAGCCGTCTGCAGCTTCCTGTTGCACGTGATAAGATGAGCAGAGAGACTGGTTACAATTGGCAGGCTTGTCGACTTTCTTCACAAAATACACTCTTCACAGTATATCCTGCGAAGCGCTTTGAGGTGTGTCGAGACTTGCCTCTTTCGACCGTGCATTCGGTCATCTCCCCACTCCCCTCAGCTACCCCCATTTCCCCCACCCCCCCAAGCTCCGGGCAAAGCCAGGACTGTTAATCGCCTTGGGCTGTCCTTCCAATGGTACAGAGTGAACGTGTCTCACTGCTCCAGTTAGTAACAATGGTGCTGATTGAAAAGCGAGTGACTGAGGTGTGTAACTGGAGCTCTGAAATAATACGAATGGGGTTTAGACTCCACTGTGAATGCTCTCCAGCAGTGAGAACAGTCAGTATTTATTGTCTGCGCTATAGCGCTCTCTTAACAGTCACAGTGTCTGGTGTCAAACGCGTTTACTGGAATGATAATCTTACAACATGGAAGGAGGCCATTCGGCCTATCATCGCTGTGTCAGCTCTGTGAAAGGGCTGCCCGTTGTCCTTTTTATAATAAGTGCTTCACAGGATTCACTGCAAAGTATTGTGACTGTGCAATTAGCGGGCCAAAGTGCAAGTTGTTGTTATGGTTGGTTGGAACTGTGCAAAGCCTCTGACGCTAGAGTTATGACACAAGAGCGGGACAAGATGAGCTACCCAGTGTCTCAGTGTTAAAGGAAAGAGCTGTGAGAGAAGATAAGATCTAGATGTGAGGACGGTTACACAGGGGGAAATCGACAGCTGGAACAGGAAGGGTGGTTCAGACTTGAATGCCAGACTCTTAAGAAACTGCTTATTTCTGTAAGAGTAACATGGTCGGGGGTTTGGCTGAGACCAACAGGTCACAAGTGGCAAATGCTGCTGTTGTCTTCAGGCCTACTCATGGCACAACTGAGTTGGGCATTGCTGTGAGGGGAGCTTCCTACTCCCTGGCTCACTGCAGTGAAAAATAAGATGTCTGTCCTGTAGCGTAGTGGTTAGATTGCAAGCGAGAAGACCCGGGTATTGATTCCCGGGCGGAGCGAAACTTTAGGCAAGTTTCCTTACTCCGCACATGCCTGTGTTTACCTAGCAGTAAGAAGGAACCCGGTTGTTAGTCAATTGGCGGATCACTTTTCCGAGGGAAATAATCCCTTTTTTTAAATAAAATTTGATGACTGTCTGCGGGACTGCCACATTTCACCCACAAAATATACAGTCACTATGCTTGACAGTATATTCCGTGAAGTAACCCCACAGGGTGACTGTTGACTTGGGCTCAGTAAGAACCTGTTGAAGCTTTTACTGACAATTTGTTTCTCTTCTGCTTTTTTTTGTCCTGTGTAAAAAGTGTTTTCAGTTGCTGCACGTGAGGTAAGTAAAACAAAAGTTTAAAAATAGTTGTGCACATGTGAGCGTGCGTGTGTGTGAGCAGTCTTATTGGGACAAGGCCTTTTATCTGATGGGGAATGAGATTATTTGATCTGATAGCTGATATATCAGTTGAAACTCTCTCCCCGAAAAGTCTGTGGATGCTGGATCCATTCATATTTCACAGGATTTACTGAAGTGGCGTGAACACACAGCAGCCCAATTGCACACAGCAGTGTTCCACAAACAGCCATATAATGAAATAGCTGCACAAAGGTCGACTGTAAATCTGAAGTGTTTTGCGACGTCCTGGCTAACCTCCCCCAGATAAAACTGGTCACTCACTTCAGTGGCTGTTTGTGGGATAATTGCGTTGTGCGAACTGGCTGCTGTGTTTGCTTACGAACTACACCATTACAACACTTCACTGTATATCCTGTGAAACTCTTTGAGAAAACCCCCTGATGTTAAAGACGCTGTATTAGATGCAAGGGTTGGTATTATTATTGTTGTCTCTGAAATCTTAGTTGAGCCTTTAAAGCCCTCCACGGCCTTGCTCCTTCCTGCCTCTGTGACCTGCTAACGCCTTATCGACCTGTCCGCTTCCTCCACTCAGCCGGCTCCAGGTCTCTCTGCTCAGCGCCTTGGGACGTCCTCCCGACATGAAAGGCTCTGTTTAAATGTAATGCGTTGTTGTGAATCAATCCATTCATTTCACTTATAATAATAATAAGAATAAAACAATCCTTGCATTTGACAAAGCGCCTTATGATGTTGTTGAGACTTCTCAAAGGTCTTCGCAGGATATACTGTAAAGTGTAGTGACTGTGTATTTTGTGGGCCCCACTCCACAGCTTTGAGGACCTGATTCAAGCTGCCTTGCTTCTCTTTCCTTCCTTTCCCCAAGTGTATTCCCCAAATCCCTTTCAAAAGCACCAGCTCCCAAGTATAGGCTCTTAACCAGTGCTCGCTCCTCCCTGGGGATGCGGAAATCTGTACACAGGCCTCTTGCAGAACATCTCACTACCTGCAGGCACTGCGGGGGAGGGCTGACTAACAGTGCTAAATAGATCTTCCCCCCCCATCGCGCCCCCACCCCAACTCCCACTTCTCTGGGAGCCGAGCACAATTTATTGAGTCTCAACCGACCGGGTGAAGTCCCGGTCTGCCAATAATAATAATAATAATAATAATCCTTGCATTTGATATAGCGCTTTTCACGACGGGAGGACGTCCCAAAGCGCTTCACAGAACACACTGTAAAGTGAATTGACTGTATATTTGTGGGCGAGGCTGTGTGTGCTTCATTTTACCAATGAGCACCCTTCGCACTCTTTGTCAAACGCAGGGCCTCAGGTTCGGTGGCTACAGGAGGAAGAATAGCCATCCTGGGAATGTAATGGAACCATCTGTACATTTGCATTTGACGTCACATAGAATCTTACAGAAGGAGGCCATTCGGCTCATTGTGCCTGTGCCGACATTTTGAAAGAGCTACCAACTAGTCCCATTACCCCTCTCTTACCCCAACTAGTCCCATTACCCCTCTCTTACCCCAACTAGTCCCATTCTCCCTCTCTTACCCCAACTAGTCCCACTCCCCCGCTCTTACCCCAACTAGTACCCGCTTTTACCCCAACTAGTCCCCACTCCCCCCGCTCTTAGCCCATAGTCCTGCACGTGTTTCCTTTTCAAATACCTATACAATTCCCTTTTGAAAGCTATTATTGAATCTGCCTCCAACACCCTTTCAGGCAGTGTATTCCAGACCATAGCAACTCTCTGGGTAAGAAAAATATCTCCCTCTGGTTCTTTTGCCATAGTCAAAACGTCTCAAAATATACAGTCAATTCACTTTACAGTATATTCTGTGAAGCGTTTAGAAACGTCTCAACGATGTGAGAAGACGCTGTATCAAGGGCAAGGATTATTATATTATAGATCGCAGCTCTAAAGGCCAACCAAACACACCCGACATTCCTGAATGCTGGCAACTGAAAGAAAATGATGGCTTTTTAAAAAAGAACAATTTTGGACACAGTCTAGAATTAAAAGGAGCGACACAGACTGAGGCTAAGTTTGTGTTATGTTGGGGAGATCCAGAACAGAATGTCCTCACGCACAGTCTAAAACACACAGGTCTTCCTCGCTATGAGGTCAGGCCTTGTCCAGAGTTAGCAACTTATAACATAATGTCAGGAATGACAGAGAGACAAGGGGACGGCAAGCTCATACTTACAGAGAGACATCCGATCCCTGTCCAGGATGCAAAATATAATATAATAATCTTTGCATTTGATACAGCGGCTTATCACGTCGTTGAGACATTTCAAACCGAAATTACTCTCGTTGTCCTGGCCAACAATTCTTTGATAGCAGATTATAGAGGTGTATCAAGTGGAAAGATTACTAGTTGTAGGATTAGTGTGTGTGTGTGTGTGTGTACAGCTCTGCGGTGGTGAACAAGTTAAAGCAGTACAAAACAGCCTCCTCCCCACAGGTTGGGTTCAGCACGTTCACAGGTTCAGACTGGATCCCTTGTCGCTTCCTGATAACCTTTTACAGCAATGATGACTTCACAGCCGGCTCTGTACACGTCTGTCAATTATATCAGGCCTCCATCTCGCATAGAGTTCAGCATTCTCAAGGGGGTGGGGGGAGAGAGAGAGGAGGCGGATGTTAACTGAATTGGTGAGAAAAACACAAAACGTTTCAATAACTGGCCTGAAACCCATGCTTCTCCCTCTCTTCTCCCTCCCTCCCTCCCTCAATTATTATAATCCTTGCATTTTATATAGCACCTTATCACATCTTCGAGACGTCTCAAAGCGCTTCACAGGATATAGTGTAGAGTGTAGTGACCGTGTATTTTTGGGGCGAAACACGACTGCCAATTGCGTACAGAAGTGTCCCACAAACAGTCGTGGATTGAGTGATCACATTATTACTATTTTTAATTTTAAATAATTTTTATTAGCCCGGAAAGCGATCCGCCCACCGATTGACTAACAACCGGGTTACTACTTTACTGCTGGGTAAAGAAAGGTGTGTGTGGAATAAGGAAACTTGCCTAACGTTTCAGCCCAGGAATCGAACCCGGGTCCCCTTGCTTGCGAGGCGAGTGTCTTGCATTAAAAATCGTAGCACTTAGTGTGAGGTGCGTGGCTTGGGATTTGAATTGAATGAAAGTGGCCCTTAAAAGAGCAGCTGGTCAGGGCAGGTGGAGTGCTCCTTTTTGTGGGTTCCTCTTACCGTCAGCTAACCTGCAGAAATGAGACCAAGCTTCCGCCTGCTCGACAGGTAATTTTAGACCAATTGACGGCACCCACCTGCAGGATTGTTCAGATCGCTCAGCCCTGCCTGGGTGGGGCCCCCAACCGCCCACTATCTGCACAGTAATTTGCTTTTTTGTATGCATCTCGACGGCAAACATTTACTGTACTGTTGAGTAAATAATCCTGGTCTTAAAGTCCACCAGTGGGAGACGACAGCGAAATGAGGAAGGAGGCAGGGGTGAGTGTCTTTCTGAGGGTGCTTTGACATTTCTTTTCCCCAACTTATAGCCCTCAACCTCCCCCCCCCGGTGTGACCAATGCCTTTCGGAGCCCTGTTGGAGTCTCTCGATCAGTTTTGCTGTTCAATGTGTGTGTGTTTGTGTGAGGGAGAGGCTGTATGTGTGTGTGAGAGAGAGAGAGAGGCAGGCTGTGATGTGTGAGAGAAAGAGAGACGTGTGTGTGTGTGTGAGAAAGAAAGAGAGACGTGTGTGTGTGAGAGAAAGGAAGAGAGACGAATGTGTGTGTGAGAAAGAAAGAGAGACGTGTGTGTGAGAGAGAAAGAGAGACGTGTGTATGAGAGAGAGAGAGAAAGAGAGACGTGTGTGTTTGTGTTTAAGAAAGAGACAGTGTGTGTGTGTGTCTGTGTGTGCGAGAGAGAGAGAGAGAGAGGGAGACTGTGTGTGTGTGTGTGTCTGTGTGTGCGAGAGAGAGAGAGAGAGAGGGAGACTGTGTGTGTGTGTTGAGTTCCTAATCTGAGTTGGGTGTTTGTCGAGGCTATTTCAGTCAGGCTGCCATTGTGCGCTTTATTCCCTGACGCTGCCTTGTGCTCAGTCTGTGTGTGGGGCGGGGGGGGGGGGAATGCTGTAAAGTTGCTCATCAAACCTGTTTGTGCTGCTGTTGTGGATCGGCTGGTGATGTCAGGAGGGTTCAGCGATACACAGCGAGACAGTGAAGCCAAGCCCTCGGCCAATGTCCTCTGTGAAGTTGCTCTCCTGCTTTCACAGTCTTTTCTTGGGAGGGGATGGGGGATGGTTGGGGTGGGGGTTGATTTATTTTGGCGGCTTGATTAATGTAGCTAGTAACAGATACTAAAGATTTTTTTACGGCGGTGAAATTTCAGGCCCACACCTTGAGTGGAACACAGCTTCCTTCCTGTAACTCTTTCTTTCCCCCACTCTCAGTTAAGAGGATGACAGAAGGCTCCCCCTAAAGGGAAATAGATAATAATAATAATAATCATCATCCTTGCATTTGGTATAGCTCCTTATCACGTCGTCGAGACGTCTGAAAGCGCTTCACAGAATATACTGTAAAGTGAATTGACCGGATTTTGTGGCCGAAACAAAATAATCCTTACATCTCATATAACCTTTTAACATGTCATTGAAACGTCTCAAAGCACTTCACAGGACTTACTGTGTTTGTAGGCGAATACAGCAGGAAGTAAGTGACCGATTGCGGTTTGGATTGTTGGGCGGGAGCTGGGGGTGGGGGGGGTAGAGAAACCCCCTTCTCTTTTCGAATAGCACCACGGGATATTTTGCATCCACCTGAACAGGAAGGATGGGTGTCTCTGACATTGCAGTGCTCCCCACGGTGTTGCTCTGGGAGTGTCAAGCAGGACTGTGAGGTCAAAGTTTTGATATGAGACACAGGCATGCTGAGAACCTGTCGGTGACTGGCACAGAGTTTTATAGCCCATACGTAACATTTGTACCAATCCCTTTACTCTTCGGCACTCCCGTCTACCTCTCCAACTTGTGTCTGAGTCTCTGCGAGTTTGCCCACCAGGCACAGCCTTGTGGGGAAGTGACACATCTACTCTAATCTCCTGGTTAATCTGCCTGTGAGGCACGGTGACTGTACGTACCTGTGTCCCAGCTCTGCTCCTGTTTACTCATTCGTTACAAACTATTGCATGTGGAAACTCCTTTCCTTTTGTTTGAGGAGGGAAGTTCTAGGGAGGGTTTATTTTCACGTTGATCTAAAGCACCTTGACCAGGGTTCATTTGAAAGTTGACTTGTGATGATGTTCTCCCCTCTCTGTTAGCCCTTGAAAGCCTCTCCCTCCCAACGTGGAGTCCTGTAGCTCAGTGGTTAGAGCACTCGCTTTGCAAGTGAGAGACCTGAGTTCATTCCCAGGCAGAGGGCGAAACCTCGGGCAAGTTTCCTTACTCCACACAGAGCCTAATAATAATCCCTTCAAAAACCAAAAACAATAATTAATTGGTCATTTTCAATCTACGACTGTTTGTGGGACATTGCTGTGCGCAATTGGCTGCCGCGTTCGCCCACAAATATACAGTCAATTCACTTTGCAGTGTGTTCTGTGAAGCGCTTTGGGACGTCCTCCCGACGTGAAAAGCGCTATATCAAATGCAAGGATTATTATTATTATTATTATAACGTGCTCCAGTTCTGATGAAGGGTCGTGGACCCGAAACGTTGACTCACTTTCCTTTCTCCAGAGATGCTGCCTTGACCTGTTGAGTGTTCCCGGCCACTTCTGTTTTTGTTTCAGATTTCCAGCATCTTGCAGTATTTTCATTTTGTGATGATGTTAGCTGTACAGGTGTGGTGTGTCTGGATTTTCAGAAGGCTTTTGATAAGGTGCTGAAGAGAAGACTTGTTTAAAACAAAATTATGGTGAATGGTATTAATGGCAAGGTAGCAACATGGAGTGAACGTTGGTTACAGGATAGGAAACAGGGTGGGAGAACAAAAACAAATTCAACAAATGACATTTACACAGCGCCTTCCACATTGGAAGGACCTCACAAGGCGCTGGACAGTCAGGGATTTGGACCCAAGCTAGGTGATGGGAGCAGGAGGGGTGGAGGACAGGCTGGTGCTAGGAGGGTGACCGAAGGTGCGGTCGAAGAGGAAGGTCTTAAGACGAGCCTTGAAGGTGGCAAGAGAGGAGGGGGGGGGGGGAATTTAATGAGAATCCTTGCATTTGATACAGAGATGCATTTGACATACTGTCAAAACGTCTTGAAGCACTTCACTGGATTTATTTGTTTGATTAGGCGGGTGTCAGACTCCTGCGGAAACCCATCACCGTGCTTAAAGAATCTCCGAACCCAACTGAGATTTCCACGCATCGCACCGACATGTGGAAACCCCAGAGATAGATTGTTGGAATGGAAAGCACACACTCTCTCTCCCCGGAGGGAGGCATTTCCTAACCTTTACAATCAATCACTGGATTTACTGGATTAAATTGTCGTGACTGTATGTTAGTATGCAGTGAATTTGAGCACGGACGTGAAGTGACTGACCAATTTTATCATGTAATTCTAGATGAATCTCCCTCCTCTTTATCCTCTACTTGTGAACACACAGACAGGACATCGGTCACATCTGAAGGACGGCACCTCTGACAGTGTAGCGCACCGCCAGCACGAACTAGGGCAGACTGAGATGCTAGTCTAGATTCGGAAGTTAAAGCCCGGATCGTGACATTGAGCCGACTCCTGATAATTGGAGGAGTCCCGTAACATAGTGTTTAGAGTACTCGCCCTGCAAGCGAAAGGACCTGGGTTTGATTCCCGGTCAATGTGAAACCTTAGGCAAGTTTCCTTACTCCACACACACACAAACCTGCACACAAGTAGGAACTCGCTTGTTAGTTAATTGGCGAATCGCTTTCTGGGGCTAATAATCCTTCCAAATATAATAATAATTTGGTCACTCAATCCATGACTGTTTGTGGGACACTGCTGTGCACAATTGGCTGCCGGGGTTCCTCCCATGAAATACAGTCACTACACTTTACAGTATATTCTGCGAAGCGCTTTGAGACATCTCGACGATGTGATAAGTCACTGTATCAATCAAATGCAAGGATTATTATTACGATTAAGTGACACCAGAGACTATTACGAGGTTCAGGTGAGCTGTGAACAGAGTGGGTGTATGCTCAGTGCCATGCTGTAGTGGTGCTGGCGGCAGTCCAGGGGTAATGTAATATGTCTCTGTGCACCCTCTCTCTCTCCCTCCCTCTCCTCTCTCTATCTCACTCCCTTTCTCTATCCCTCCCTTCCTCCCTCTCTCTCTCTCCCTCCCTCCCTCTCTCCCTCTCCCTTCTCTCTCTCCCTCCCTCCCTCTCTCTCTCTCCCTCCCTCCCTCTCTCCCTCTCCCTCCCTCTCTCCCTCTCCCTTCTCTCTCTCCCTCCCTCCTTCTCTCTCTATCCCTCTCTCTCACTCCCTCCCTTCTCTCTCTCCCTCCCTCTCTCTCTCTCCCCCCTTCCTCTCTCTCTCCCTTCTCTCTCTCCCTCCCTCCCTCTCTCTCTCCCTTCTCTCTCTCCCTCCCTCCCTCTCTCCCTTCTCTCTCTAGCTCCCTCCCTCTCTCTCTCCCTTCTCTCTCTCCCTCCCTCCCTCCCTCTCTCTCTCTCCCTCCCTCCCTCTCTCTCTCTCTCCCTCCCTCCCTCTCTCGCCACCCTCTCTCTCTCCCTCCCTCTCTCTCTCTCTCCCTCCCTCCCTCTCTCTCTCTCCCTCTCTCCCTCCCTCTCTCTCTCTCTCCCTCCCTGCCTCTCTCGCCACCCTCTCTCTCTCCCTTCTCTCTCTCCCTCCCTCCCTCTCTCTCTCTCCCTCCCTCCCTCTCTCTCTCTCTCCCTCCCTGCCTCTCTCGCCACCCTCTCTCTCTCCCTTCTCTCTCTCCCTCCCTCCCTCTCTCTCTCTCCCTCCCTCCCTCCCTCTCTCTCTCTCCCTCCCTCCCTCTCTCTCTCTCTCCCTCCCTCTCTCTCTCTCTCCCTTCTCTCTCTCCCTCCCTCCCTCTCTCTCTCCCTTCTCTCTCTCCCTCCCTCCCTCCCTCTCTCTCTCTCCCTCCCTCCCTCTCTCTCTCTCTCCCTCCCTGCCTCTCTCGCCACCCTCTCTCTCTCTTGCCATTGTTCTCCTGGTATCAGTTCTCTTCTCAAAAAAGAATAATAAAACCGGTTTGGCGGGTGCGTTCCTTGTAGAAAGCGGCTGACATTTGCGTGGGTAATTAAAAGGGGGAATTGAGGGAGTGTGGAAATGTTTTCTCCCTACTGGAATAATAATCCTTGCATTCGATATAGCACCTTATCATTCAATCCACGGCTGTTTGTGGGACATTGCTATGTGCAATTGGCTGCCGCTTATTCTACTTTTCAGTATATTCTGTGAAGCGCTTTGAGATGTGTCGATGACGTGATAAGGGGCTGTATCAATTGCAAGGATTATTTCTTATTATGTTGTAGATTCAGGTTTCTCGTCAGGGATTTTCAGCTCACAATATTGGCTAATACTCCAGTGAGGTGTTTAGGTGAGACGTTAACCAGAGACCCCTTTGTCCAGCTGGGAGTTAAAAGCTCCCACAATATTTCTGGGAATGAGAAGGGAATTTCCCCCCAGATCAAATAGGCCATTTACTTTATCAGGACGTTGTTGTGTGTAGACTAGTTGCCGTGTTTGCCTATAAAGGCACAGACACTACACTTGACAACAACACCCTGTGAAGTGCTTTGAGGTGTTAATGTCATTGGTGCTGTATCGAACACTAGGATTATTTTTTAAGAATGTGCGAGCGAGTGAGCAAAGCAGCTCAAAGATGTTTATCTTTGAAGCTACAAACTGACTGTGCAGAAGTCCGAGGGCTTTGTTTACCCTGGGCCAGATCTTGCCATCACTTCTGGCTGAGAAACAACATTCGCCGACTGGGACCGTGTGGTTTATGTGAAATGCGAAGATGGGAGATTCGATCTCTCCACTGAGCTTCACAGGTCAAGTCCTGGGAGAAACGTCTCAGGCAGGCCGCTGCGACTGACTGCCTTTTGTCTACACTTCTATTCAATGTCAGTGGAAAGGCTGAGTATATCACACACTAGCTCCAAAAGTCAACTGAGTAAACTTATCGATTCTTTCAACTTATAGGCTTTGATGCTCAGCAAACAGCCTGGAGTGAAACCTGCTCTGAGATGCTACCCTGTGCGAAGGGCGCCACATCATAATAGTATTAGAATAACCCTTGCATTTGATACAGCGCATTATCATGTCGTCAAGACGTCGCAAAAGCTCCATGTGATATACTGTAAAGTACAGTGTAGTGACTGTGTGGTTTGTGGGCAAAACGCAGCAGCCAATTGCTCACAGCAGTGTCCCACAAACAGTCATGGATTGAGTGACCAAATTATTATTATTGTTGGAGATATTATTACCTCCAGAAAGCGATCCCTAAGTTCTTACGACTAGGTAAACAGAGGCATGTGCGTGGAGTAAGGAAACTTGCCTAAGGTCTCGCCATGTCCCACCCAGGAATCAAACTCGGGTCCTCTCGCTTGCCTGATAAGCACTGGCTGCCCTGTGAACTAATCAGGCACTGAGTACAGTCAGCACTTGTCATGGATTAAGATCACCAAAGCAGCTTGTGGCGTTCAGCCGCAGCTCGTGATGTGTGTGTCTGTACCTGGCGAGGCGTTGGAAACTACTTTTTTTATTTTTAAATGCCTGTGGCCTTTACATTCCCCTCATTTTTATTCAAGTGGCTTTCCGGGGGTAATGATACCTTCAAATCAAAAATAATAATAATAATATGGTCACTCTATCCAGGACGATTTGTCGGACACTGCTGTGTGCAATTGGCTGCCATCCACAAAATATACAGTTACTACACTTTACTGTATGTACTGTGAAGCGCTTTGAGGCGTCTCAACAGAATGATAAGGCGCTGTATCAACACATCAATCCATTTCATTGCTCGCAGCTCACTCTCTGTCTGTCTGTCTGTCTTTCTTTCTCCCGTGTTTCTGGGAAGCAGCTGTTCGGCTCCAGGGAGGGTTCCTCTTCCTGCTCTTGCCTCTGAGTCAGAAGGTTGTGGTTTCCAGCCCCACGTCGGGGAATTTGAGCTCTCTGTCTAACGTAACACTCCGGCTCAGTGCTGGAGGTCCTGTAGCTTAGTGGTTAGAGCACTCGCTTAGCAAGTGGGAGGACCCAGGTTCGATTCCTGGACAAGGCGAAACCTTAGGCAAGTTTTCTTACTCTGCACTCCTCTGTTTACCTCGCAATAAATTGGAACCCAGTTGTTAGTTAATTGGCAGATCCCATTCCGGAAGTAATAATCCCTCCATAATAATAATAACAATAATAAATTTGACCACTCGATGTTTGAGTGGGACACTGTTGTGCGCAATTGACTGCCGCGTTTCACCCACAGCATATATAGTCACTACACTTTTTGTATATCCTGTGAAGCACTGTGAGATGTCTAAACTACGTGTTAAAGCGCTGTATCGAATACATGGATTATTATTATCAGGGGTGCCAACTGTGCTGAGACTTTACACCGAGGCCCACCTGTGCCTGTTCAGATGGGCATAAAGGATCCTATTGAAAAAGAGAAGGGAGTTCCTCTATCCGAGTGACCTGGCCGTCAATCCACAGATAAATTGCTCATTCACTTCCTGGCTGTAAATAATTACATCCTGATCCTGTCTTAGATAACGTAAAACTCCCTCTGAGGCGAAAGTGGGACAAGGAACCCGCCCTTTGTGGGATTTACTGTAGAGCGTGGTGACTGTGCATTTGTAAGCCAATGTTACAAAATGGCTGCTGGGTTTGCCTACAAAAACAGTCAAATAATAATAATAATGTGGTCACTCAGCCCACGACTGCTTGTGGGAGGTCGCTGTGCGCAATTGGCTGCCGCGTTTCACCCATAAAGCATACAGTCACTACACTTTACAGTATAACCTGTGAAGCGCTTTGAGACGTCTCAAAAACTTGAGAACGTGCTGTATCAAAGGCAAGGATTATTATTATCAAGTTGTGTGACTGAACCCAGCTGAAGCGCAGTATAAGTGCTCCGGGTCGTTACCTCGCGTGAAGGGCACTATATAAATGCAAGTTGTTGTTGATGTTGCTGTGTGCCCTGGGCTCCTGGTGATCGCGGCTGTCTTGTGTGTTTGTCTACAGCACTCGGGTGGCCAGGCTGACGTTCAGAGCCAAGCCAAGGCCTCGAGCCGCACCAACATGCCGCGCTGCCGCAACTCCATCGCCACCACGGCCGAGGACACCCCACACATCGGCAACTACCGGCTCCTCAAAACCATCGGCAAAGGCAACTTTGCCAAAGTCAAGCTGGCACGTCATGTCCTGACCGGCAAAGAGGTAAGGTTTGGTCTGCCACAATCCAGGGGCAAGGGGTGAGGTGTGTCCGAACCGAGGGCAGAGCCAGTAGCCTAGTCACCTCCCTTCTGTAGCAAGTGCTCAGAGCGCTCGCCTCGCAAGAGAGAGAGGGCCCGAGTTCGATTCCCGGGGAGGGACAGGGCGAAACCTTAGGCAAGTCTCCAAACCAGACTGAGAATTCCATTCCTCCCACCTACACGTAAAAATCCCAAAGATGGATTGTTTGAACAGAATTCTCTCTCTCTCTCTCCCTCCCTCCCTGTTTACCTAATTCCGAGGAGTATTAGGTGCAGGTTGGCAAGAGCCAAGGCTTGGGGGGAGCCCAGAGTGTGCGTTGAGGTAACTGTTGGAGTCTAACCAGCTAAACCCACACATTGCTTGTTCTTTGAGAGTGGGCTCTGGCAAGCTTTCCCCAGTGCTTGTTCAGCTAGGACCACCCTACCTGTTAGGGCTTTGGCTACAGGGTTAACAGGAAGCTGAGTGGGAGGAATTCCTGCTCCCAGTGACTGGTCTGGTCTTCCAGGTCCTGCCGATGAGCCGGGCTGCGCTGTCATCAGATGCAGGTTGGGAAGAGCCAAGGTTTGTGGGGGAGCCCAGAGTGTGCGTTGGAGTAACTGTTGGGAGTCTAACCAGCTATAAACTTGCCTATTCAAGTGGGCGTTAAAGATCCTGTGACATGTTTGGGCAAGAGAAGGGACTTTCTGTCCCGTTGTCCTGGCCAACAATCTTGTAGATAAAACTGGTCATTGATTAAGCTAAGTGGCTGGTGTATTTGTCTAATGGACTGGACGTCAGTCTGGTTCTGAGGGCTCTATTGTTTGTAAATCTCACCTTAAAGCTCAGGTAAAATCTAAGCTGCCTTATCATCAACACTGTTCCAGTCTCTCGGCATCTCCCCAACAAAGGCTTGTGTCGTCATAATCATACGCAGTTGTGTGTCCACAGACGTGTCTCAGCCACTCGCACTCCTCAGTCAGAAGGTTCTGTGTTTTAAGCTCCACATCAGGACTGAGCTCACAGTCTAGGCTAGCGCTCCAGTGCAGCGCTGGGGGCAACAACCACAAATGACATTTACACAGCGCCTTTCACGTTGGGAGCTGGGTGGGGGGGCATCCCAAGGCGCTGGACAGTCGGGGATTGGCGACCGAGCTGGGGACCCCATGCCACTGCTCAAATGAGAAGGCTGAAAATTTCTCCCGGTGAAAACTGGCCAACAATTCCCCCGGAAAGCGATCCACCAAACGGCTAACAAGCGGGTTCCTATTTACTGTTAGATAAACAGAGGTGGTGTGTGTGTGGAGTAAGGAAACTTGCCTAAGGTTTTGCCCTGACCCGTCCAGGAATCGAACCCCCAGTCCTCTCACGAGCGCTCTAACCACTATGCTACAGGATTCCTCAGTCTTCAAACCCAGCTGGGATATCCAACCCACCCCCTCCCCCCACTACCACCACCACCTCAAGCAGTGAGTCTCGGGCCTGTCTGATGTGGGGAGACGGGATTTTCAGGTTTCCACTGTGAACTGATTGATTGAGGCGTTTCTGGCCCAGCCACAGCAACGAGCAAACAATAATAAATAAGTATTCTCTACAGCCTTAGATTCCTTCTTTCAGCACTCTGAGGCGCTATCCTGTGTTTTTTCTTTCGTCAGCCGGGTGTCTGATATACACGGAAACTCCAGACTGTCCCCAAACCCAATTGAGAATTCCATGCATCCCACCTACACATGGAAATCCCAGAGATAGATTGATGGAATGGAATGCTCTCTCTCTCTCTCTCCCCCCCCGGAGTGACGCATCCTGCTTACCTAATTCCGAAGAGTATTAGGCACAGGTTGGCAAGAGCCAAGGCTTGGGGGGAGCCCAGAGTGTGCGTTGGGGTAACTGCTGGAATCTAACCAGCTAAAACCGCACATAACTTGCCATTGATATCACTGTTCGGCAAGCTTTCCCGCTGCTTGTCCAGTAGGATCACTCTACCCGTTAGTTAGGATTTTGTCTTGCAGGGTTACCAGGAAATGAATGGGGGATTCCCTGCCCCACTGACTGACTGGTCTGACTGAATTTCTGCCCTGATCTAAAATAACACTTCACTTTGTTGCCCGCAGGTTGCAGTTAAGATAATTGACAAAGCACAGCTGAACTCCTCCAGTCTGCAAAAGGTAGGACCCGGAGCTCAAATTTATTTTACTTCAGCCTCTATGTGGGCGTGTGCCTGTGTGTGCATGTTCATGTGTGCCTGTCTGTGTGTGGTGTGCGTGTGACGATATTACAGGAGAGTGTTTGCCCTGCGCTTCACACAGAGGTGGTTATGTTTAGCGGTTTCAGAGTGTTTATAAATCAGGGGGTTTTTACATTTACGCAGGGTCTGCCTTTCATGTCAGGAGGACGTCCCAAGGTGCTGGACAGTCATGGATTTGGACCCGAGCTGAACAGGGGGTTGGGATCAGGAGGGGTGGAGGGAAGGGTGGGTGGGGATAGAAGGGTGACCAAAGGTGCGGTTGAAGAGGGGGGTCTTGAGACATGGCCTTGAAGGAGGCAAAGGTGGGGGCGAAGCAGTGAGGCTGAAGACCCAACCGCCAATGGTGGGGTGGGCCCGGTGGGGGATGTGGAGCAGGCCTGAGTCCGCTGAGCAGAGGGAGAGGACAGGTCGATATTCCTGGCTGATTGGAGCACATTGCTGTGAGCAAATCAGCTGCCGCGTTGCCCAACAATGACAGAATTTACGTGTGGGGAGTTGCTATGGAGTCTGACTTGGGAGGTGTTGTGTTTGTGTGTAAATCACATCGGGTTTGGGTGTTAAAAACAAGGTGTGGTTCCCAAATTTCCAGGAAAAAGAGAGAGAGTTCTGTGAGTAATGTATAATCGTAATAATCTTTCGGTTTGATGTAGCACTTTATCGCCTCGTTGAGACGTCTCAAAGACCTTCACAAGAATATACTGTAAAGTGCGGTGACTGTATATTTTGTGGGTGAAACGTGGCAGCCAATTGTGCACAGCAGTGTCCCACAAACAGTCGTGGATCGAGCGACCCCAATTATAATTTTTTTGGCGGGATCATTACCCCCAGGTTCCTACTTACTGCTGGGTAAACAGAGGTGTGTGTCTGTATATGTGTGTGTGGAGTAAGGACATTTTTCCTAGGGTTTTGCCCTGTTCAAATCAGTCAGCGCTGCTGCTTTCTGATCGACAGCACGTGGAAGAGGTTGGGCTGGGGAGGACAATTGAGCGCCCTGTGTAAAGGGCGTTACATGATGCCTCTACAGAGCTATGGCCTCTCTCACTGCACAGCGAGCGTGGGAAAGTCTCTGCTCTAATTGGTCTGGCTTTTCCTGCTGAGCCTGTATGTGCCTGTGTCTGTGTGTGCCCCAACCCGGCCGGGAATTAAATCTCGCTTCCGAGGTGAGTGTGCTCACCACTACACTACAGGACTCTGTAGTGTGTTCGAGCTGCCCACTCCTATTCCTGGCCAGGCTCAGTCAGTACTTATCTGTGACAGAGATCTGTGAGATAATGGGGTAAATAACCGGTCTGCACAGCTTCTCCCTGATTATACACAGAGCAAAACAAGACCCAACACTTCCCTGTGTGTTGTGTGCCCTGTCTCTGTGTTGTGTGCCCTGTGCTCTGTCTCTGTGCTGTGTGCCTTGAGCTGTGTGTTCTGTGCCCTGTGCTCTGTCTGTGCTCGCACAGGATGGGCGGGTTGGCTGACGAGTGCAATTGCACGGCTTATCTGACTGGCATCTGTGTCTCCTGGCTTCCCTGTTTATTCCTATCCCATTCCCTTCTCCATGCCAAGTACGTGAAGCCAATCACTCCCAGCTCCAGCGAGTATATTGGGGGTTGAACCTGACACCAGGGTTGCTACAGGTTTGGGTAAACCTGATGGGCAGGTGGGGAAGGTTAAAGAGGTCAGCGTCATAGTTGAGAAGATGTTGACAGGAGCCAAGGAGGAAGGCTTCCATCTTGTCCGTGTTCAGCTCCACAAACTGCAATTCTCAGTTGGGTTTGGAGACTCTTGAGCACGGTGATGGGTTTCCCTCATGTGTCAGATACCCAGCTGGGGGAAAAAATTGTAACAAGAGCCTAGTGGGGAAGAATCCCTGCTTCCAATGTCTCCTAAGCCCGTTTATAATAATAATTTATTACAGACAGTGCCTTATCACGTCTTCGAAAGTCTCAACGCGCTTCGCAGGATATACTGTAAAGTGAATTGATTGTACATTTTGTTATCCTTTGCCTGAGACGTCCACAACTGAAAACAATTCTCCGAACAACAGCATGATTTCCCTGCTATTGCATTGGCCACCTCCTGAATGCCTTTAGCCTTGTTACAGCGCTCTCTCTCTCTCTCTACCTGTGTGCTGGCTTTGTGATTGATTTCCTGACGCACCCAAAACCCTTTTGTGTTCCTTTTCGAGCATCTCCATTTAGCTCCTGTTGTTAACCCTCATTGTCACGGCTATAGATTGCACCACCTCTCAATCGGCTGAATTGAACCGTCTCCGCCACACTTCCGCCCACTCACCTAATCCCTCAGTGTCTGTGTGTAAGCTTCATAGTGCAGTGCATCTCCGAGCTCTGCTGCGTTCACAAACTGGGATGTCTCCCCCCTCTGACGCATGTCAAAACCATACAGAATCCTGAAGTGTAGTGGCCAGAGCGCTCGCCTCGCCAGCGAGAGGACCCAGATTCGATTCCCAGACTGGTCAGGGCAAGTTTCCTTACTACACACACACACACACACACGCCTCTGTTTACCTCGCAGTAAGTAAGAACCCACTTGGTAGTCAATTGGCAGAGCGGTTTCCGAGGGTAATAATCCCTTCAAAAAAATTATTATTAATAATAATAATAGTTTGGTCCTATGCCTGACAGCAATCCCTCCCTCCCTCGATCACTCGTCCTCCCTGGGAGTTGGCATAAACAGCGCTCGGAAGTTTTTGAAGTTCTTGCTAATGTAAACTGTTTGCGGTTTCCTCAGTAAATAACTGCGGAATGGGATTGTAACTCTCCCCTTGGGGCTGAGCCCCCGTCTGAACTTGTGGCTCGCTTGTCATAAACTACTTAAAGTACTGCCGTTATCTTCTTGATATGTGTATAAGTGTGCCTGTGTGGGGTGGTGGGGGGCGGTGGGTGCTGAGAGAGAGAGAGAGAGAGTGTGTGTGTGCGTTGAGAGCGTGTATACATGTGTTGAGTGTGTGTGAGAGAGAGTGTGTATGTTTCGAGAGTGTGTGTGTTCGGGTGTGTGTGAGAGAGTAGGTATGAGAGAGTGTATGTGTGTGTAGAGAGAGAGCGTGTGTGTACGTGTTCAGAGAGTGTGGGGGTGGGGGGGGGGGTGAGGGAGGGGAATGATTTTAATCTTGAAGTTAATCTGATTTCGGGCTAGAATCGGGCTGTGGAAACAGCGAGACACATTAACACATTACCAGGAACTCATTAAGCTGAACCGCCGTGTGACACGGTAGCCAGAGCAGAGACTCGCTGCTCCTTGAGTAACATCCCAACAACCTGTAAACACAGCACAGCTCTCACTGATTCACAGTAAACTTACTCTTAACACTCCTGTCCAATGATTGCCCATATACCACACGGTCACCGCACTTCACAGTGCGTCCCGTGAAGCGCTTTGAGACGTCTCGCAGACGTGGTAAGGCCCCTGGGTCAGACGCAAGGATTCTTTTTTATTCTAGCAGCACGTGCCTGGCGAGAGAGAGAGAGAGAGAGAGAGAGAGAGCAAACTGAACCGAGGAGGTCAGTCGGTCAGTCTGCGCGGCGCACTTGTGGTGCAGTTTCCCCCTGAGCCACAGGAGGGAGCTCGTGAGCACTGTCCAGCAGTTTAAAACCTCCGGGATGTGTGTCCACAAGGTCCGGTCACACACTTGGTCTGTACAGCGTATAGTCCGGGGCACAACGTGCCAAGCGACTGCCAGGATGGTGGAAGCCGAACTGGATGGACCTCGGCCTCCTCTCGTCCAGCAAATTCTTGTTTTACTTCTAAGCGCAGTTGGCACCATTCTTCCACGTGTTTCAGTGGTCGGTCAGTGTGCATTGCAGAGAGAAACAAAAACGGGGGGTGGGAGGGGGAGCTGTTATTGTCTGTGGGTGGGCGGGTCGTGCTCAGCCAGGGTCAAGAGCTCCGGGACGCTGCCCTGTGTGGGGGACGCTGTGTAGGTGCAAGTTGTTGTAACGCTCCTTGTATCCTCTCTCTGCAGTTGTTCCGTGAAGTACGGATAATGAAGAATCTGAATCACCCTAATATAGGTAAGTGCTTCTCTCTCCTCCCTCCCCCCACCGCCTCGCGAGAAGGCTGCTGTATAAATGCCAGTTGCTGTTGTAAAGGTGTTTGCATGTATCACTCTGTGCCCTGACCTTTTCTTCTCTCTTACAGTTAAGTTATTTGAAGTTATAGAAACCGAGAAAACACTGTATTTAGTCATGGAGTACGCCAGTGGGGGTGAGTACTTGTGTGTGTTACTTTACCATAAGCGCTCCGAGACCTAAAGGGGGCTGTAGAAATGTGTCAAGACACCCGGCTGTTCACGGTGACAGGTTTCCATGCGTGTCATACCCCCGGCTGATCATGGTGATGGGTTTCCACATGTGTGTGTGTGTGTGTGTGTCACACCCCCGGCTGATCATGGTGATGGGTTTCCATGTGTGTGTGTGTGTGTGAGTGTGTCACACCCCCGGCTGATCATGGTGATGGGTTTCCACGTGTGTGTGTGTGTGTGTGTGTGTGTGTCACACCCCCGGCTGTGTCAGGGACCCTACCCCGCGGGAGGGGCACTATGTAAATGCAAGTTGTTGTTGCCCCTCTAACCCTCTCGCGCGCTCTCTCCTCACCACCCACAGGGGAAGTTTTTGATTACCTAGTTGCACACGGGAGAATGAAAGAAAAGGAAGCCCGGGCGAAGTTTAGACAGGTCAGTCTTGTGGCTTGTTCCCAACGTACACAGCTGAAGCGAAGCTGCGGAAACCGCCGGGGTGTGTTTGTGCTAAATTGCGTCAGCCCGGATCAGTCACTCGCCATCGAGTCAGAATAAGTAATAACAATAATCCTTGTATTTGATACAGTGCCTTATCGTGTCGTTGAGATGCCTGAAAGCGCTTCACAGGATACACTGTAAAGCGAATTGACAGTTATTTAAGGATCTTCTGATCCGCTGCTCCTGACGCCTCTATCTCTCTCTCTCTCTCTCTCTCTCTAGATAGTGTCAGCTGTCCAGTATTGTCACCAGAAGTGCATTGTTCACAGGGATCTCAAGGTACAGTCTCTCTCTTTCTCTCTCCCTGTCTTTGCCTCTCTCTTTCACTCTTGTTGCTTCCCATCTCTCCCCCTCTCCCTCCCCGCTCTCTCTTTCTTCCCTCTCTCTCCCTCCATCTCTCTCTCTCTTCCCTTCCTCTTCTCCTCTTTCTCTCTCTCTCCCCCCCCCCCCATCTCGCTGCCTCCAAATACATCTAACAAATATTTCTCTCTGTCTCTCTCTCCCCACCCCCCTCCCACTTTGCAGGCAGAGAACTTGCTGGTAGACGTTGACATGAACATAAAGATCGCGGACTTTGGCTTCAGTAACGAATTCACGCTGGGGAACAAGCTGGACACGTTCTGTGGGAGCCCCCCCTACGCTGCCCCCGAGCTCTTCCAGGGCAAGAAATACGACGGGCCTGAGGTGGACGTGTGGAGCCTGGGCGTCATTCTCTACACCCTCGTCAGCGGCTCCCTGCCATTCGATGGTCAGAACCTCAAGGTACAGCAGGAACAACATCAACACCATGTCTCTCTCTGTCCATCACCTCCTAACCCCTTAAACACCCCCATTGTTACCCCTACCTTCATATAACCTTCTCTTTGCCCATTTTATCCTCAAAAGTACACGGCGCTTGAACCCACAACCTTCTGTCTCTGAGGCGAGAGCGTTACCACTGAGCCGGGCACCTACGTGCTGAGCGAGAGGCCCTGGACACTCTTGTTTATCTAGCAGGAAGTAGGAACCCGGTTGCTAGTTGATTGGCAGATCACTTTTCCGACTGTTTGTGGGGACGCTGCTGTGTGCAATTGGCTGCCGCGTTTCGTCCACAAAATATACAGTCCGTTCACCTTAACGGTGTATTCTGTGAAGAGCTTTGAGGGGTGGTAAAGCTGACAACACATCCCTGCTCTCTCTCTCTCTCTCTCGGTGTCAGGAGTTGCGAGAGCGAGTGCTTAGGGGGAAATATCGGATTCCGTTCTACATGTCCACAGACTGTGAAAACCTGCTGAAGAAATTCCTGGTACTGAACCCGGCCAAACGGGGCAGCTTAGAGGTGGGTTTACTGTCCACACTGTGTGTCTGTGTGTGTGTGTCTGTCTGTGTGCGCGCGCATGTGTGCTTTTCTGCGTGTGCGCGGGCGTGTCTCTGTCTCTCTCTCCGCATGTCTCTTATCTCTGTCCTAACCCCCACCCTCCCTGCCCCCTCCAACCCCTTCCTGATCCCAGCCCCCAGCTCTCTGGTCGTGTCCTGTGCTGTGAGAGGTGCTCTGTGAATGTCATTATTATATTGTTGTTGTTGTTGTTATGTTGATCAGCAAATAATGAGAGATCGTTGGATGAACGTGAGTCACGAGGAGGATGAGCTGAAGCCATACATAGAGCCCGAGCCAGACTACAAAGATCCTCGGCGAACAGGTGGGTTTTTCTTACTCAGCAGCCCCCGTCCCCTCTCTCTCTCTCTCTCTCTCTCTCACCTTCGCTCGCTCGCTCTCTCTCTCTGACACTCAGCTCCCTCTCTCTCTCTTGCTCTCTCTCTCCCTCCCTCTCGCTGTCTCTTTCTGTCTCACACACTCTCTCTCACCGTCTCTCTCTCTCTCGCTGTCTCTCTTGCTGTCTCACTCTCGCTGTCTCACTGTCTCTCACTCACTCCCTCTCTCGCTCTCTCTCTCTCGCTATCTCACACAGAGATAATGGTGAATATGGGCTACACACGGGAGGAGATCACGGAGTCGCTCATCAACCAGAAATACAACGAGGTCATGGCCACATATCTGCTGCTGGGCTGGAAAACATCAGAGGTGGGTGTTTGTCAGCGGGCAGGAGGGAGGCGGAGGCGACCGTAGACACGGGAAAGCATAAAGACAGGGAGGGGCCAAGACGGAGGGATTGAGGGAGAGAGCGACGAGTTTCGGGGCTGAAAGCTCGGCCACCGATGATGGAGCGGAGGGGTATGAGGGACAAGCAGGAGGCCGGAGCCAGACAAGTGGAGGTAGTGGGTTGGGGGGGCGAGCAGGTCGGAGAGATCGGGAGGCGCTGGGGCGTGAAGGGATTTGAAGACGAGTGTGAGGACCCTCCCTCGCTCCTCTTTGCTCGTTCTCCATTGTGGAGTCCTGGAGGGCAGTGGTTGGAGTTCGCGCTCGCCTCGCAAGCCGGAGGATCTGGGTTCGATTCCCGGGTCAGGGCAAAGCCTTGGTCTCCTTCACCCGCGCACAGCAGGGAGCAGGGACCCGCTTCTTCCTGGATTGTCGGATCACTTTCCCGGGTAATAACCCCTCCAAGAAAGGGAAACTTGCCAAAGGGTTCGTAATGATACCTGTCAGTGATGTGACCTTGTTGCCTCCTCTCTCTCCCCCGCCTCTCGCTCTCTCTCTCCCCCCACCTCGCTCTCTCTCTCTCTCTCTCCCCCCACCTCGCTCTCTCTCTCTCTCTCCCCCCACCTCGCTCGCGCTCTCTCTCTCCCCACTTCACTCGCTCTCTCTCCCCCCACCTCTCTCTCTCTCTCTCTCTCCCCCCACTTCGCTCTCTCACAGTTGGAGCTGGGGGAGGTGCTGACGAACACTAACCTGTGCCTGAAGAACAGACCGGGCGGTGACCTTCCAAACAGTAACTCACAGTCGCCCTCCAACAAGGTCCAGCGCAGTGTCTCCGCCAATCAGAAACAGCGGCGCTTCAGTGATCAAGGTGGGTTCTCCACTCCGCGAGGGGGCGAGGCGGGAGGGGTTAAGGGAGAGAGTGACAGAGTTTCGGGGCTGAAAGCTCGGACTGCCGTGGTGGAACGGGGGGGGGGCCACGAGGGACAAGCAGGAGGATGGGGCCAGCCGAGCGGAGGTTACAAGTGGGGGGGGGGGGGGGGGGGGCGGGTAAGCAGATCGGAGAGAGAGAGAGAGGAAGGTGCAAGAACGTGAAGGGATTCGAGCCAATGCACTCACACGTACCATGATGATGAGTCCAGCTTATGTATTTGTAACTGTTCTCTCTCTCCCCCCCCCCTCTCTCTCTCTTCCCCCCTTTTCTCTCTCTCTCTCCCTCTCTCCACAGTGGGTCCCACTATCCCCACGACTAACTCCTACGCTAAGAGGAACCAGGCCAACATCGCGGACAGTAAACACGGGGAGGAGGAGAGAGAGCGAGAGAGAGAGAGAGACGGCTCCCGCAGGTCAAACAGCAACGTCAAGGTGCCGGCCAGCCCTCTCAGCGGGTCAGAGCGCAAGCGATCAGGGACCCCCCCCTCAGCGGTGAGACCCCCCCCCCACCACTCACAGTGCTCACTCCCCCCAGCACCCCTCACATAAACCCCAACAACCCCTCACACACACACTCCCGCCCACTCACACGCACCCCAACACCCCCCTACCCTCGCACGCATCTCCACCATCACCAGCCCCACCCCCCCCCACACACACACTCCTGCCCACTCACACACACCCCAACCCCCCCCTCTCACTCCCCCTTACCCCAACACCCCAACAAGCTCAGCAGGTTAGAGCCCAAGCGATTAGGCAGCCCCCCCCCCCCTCCTCAGCGGTGAGACCCCCCCCCCACTCATAGTGCTCATGCCCTCCCCAGCACCCCTCACATAAACCCCAGTTCCCCTCACTCACATACACCCCAACCCCCCCCTCTCACTCCCCTTTACGCCAACACCCACACATGCTCAGCAGGTCAGAGCGCAAGCGATTAGGCAGCCCCCCACCTCAGCGTTGAGCCCTAATCTCCCACCCCTCATGCCAATCTCCCCCCCCCCCGCCATCTCTCCCTCTGTGTCTTGCCCGCCCACCGCTCCCCTACTCTTCCCTCCCGGGGCCTGTGTGTGACTCTCTGCACCATTTGCTGCCGACAGAACAACCTTCTCCAGACCGGTCTGAGCCGCAGCAGGAATTCCCCGATGGCGGAGCGAGCAGGTGGGGGGCCGCCCAGCGCCGTGCACAACGGCAGAGACAGGTAATGTCCTCGAGCTTCACAGTCCCTGTAGCTCAGGGGTTAGAGCTCTCGCTTCGCAGGCCACAGGACCCGGGTTCGATTCCCAGCCGGGCAGGGACAGGGCGAAACCTTAGGCAAGTTTCCTTACTCCCCACACGCAGACAGACACACACGCGCGCACACACACGCACAGACACGCCTCTGTTTACCAGCAGTCAGTAGGGGTAATGGGGTAATAATCCCTTCATAATAATAATAATTTGGTCACTTAATCCACAACTGTTTGTGGGGACGTCGCCGGGCGCAATCGGCTGCCCACAAAACCCACAGTCACTACACTATACTACTTTATCCTGTGAAGATGTCTCAACGATGTGGTCAGGGGCTGTATCAAATGCAAAAATTTATTAGTCAGGACACACGCTGAGACAGGGGGAGGGAGCCAGGCTGTGAGGTGGGGAGTGGTGGGTGGGGGAGGGTTGTGAGAGGGAGTGGATGTGTGTGTGTTGGGGGGGGGGGGGGGGGAGAGACCAGAGGTGACGTGTCTGTGTTTACGTGCAGCTCTTCAGCCCCCTCACGAGTGGCCTCAATGTCAGTGACGTCGGCACGTACCCGGCACAGCAAGTCCGTGTCCTCCTCCGTCCACCCCACCAAAGCCCCTTCCCCCGGCTCCCCCAGCGCCGAGCTACAGAGGCCCAGGTATGTCCCTGTGTGAGGGGTGTGAGAGGGAGGGAGGGAGGGATAGTGTTGTTGCTAACAGCTGCCCTTTTGTTGGGGTGGGGGGAGCGAGGCAGAGGGAGGTATTGTTACATTCGGTAACAGCCCCCCCCCACCCACACACCTCTCTCTCTCCCTGGCGGCGAGTGGGACGGAGTGAGCAATGTAGAGGGAGGGAGGGGAGGAGTGGTGGTGGGGGGGTAGTGCTGTGTTGTTGTACAGTGTAGTAACTCTCTCCCCCTCTCCCCCCCCCAGCACGGCTCCCCAGCGGGTTCCAGCCACCTCTCCCTCAACCCACAACATGAGCAGCAGCAGTACGGTGTCGGGGGTGGGGGATGCCCCCAGTTTCCCCCGGGGTGTGGCCAGTCGCAGCACCTTTCACGGAGGGCAACTGCGTCAGCTCCGCGAGCAGCAGGCGGGGGGCTACCCTGGCGTCCCCGCCTCCCCCACTCTCTCCCACGGCAACAGCCACGGCCGTCGAGGGGCCTCGGGCATCTTCAGCCGCTTCACCTCCAAGTTCGTACGCAGGTAACAGCGCAGCCGCCCCCCCCCACCCCACCCCCCCAACATACACCCCCAACACACACCCCTACACTGCCCCCCTAATTCTGCCCCCTACACATACCCAACCCTGAGTCTCCACTCCACACAAACGCACACTCCCCACACCTTAATAAAGCCCCTCCCATGCTCAACCCCCCCACACACACCTCCACCCTCAACATTCTCTCCTCTCTCCCCCCCCCATATACATACACCTCAGGTAACAGCACAGTCCCCCCCCCCCACACACACACACACACACAGAAAACAGCGCAGGGCACTTGGCCACCACAGCCATGCCTCCCCCTCAACCACGCCACCCCCCACACACACACGCACACACTTAGAGCTGCGTGTGTGTGTTCGTGTGTGTCCTCGTTTATGTCCGCATGTGCGTGTCTGTGTGCATGTGTGTGTGTCCATATGCATGTGTGTGTGTGCGTGTGGGTCTGTGTGTGTGCATATGTGTGTCTGTGTGCATGTGTGTGTGTGTGTGTGTCCGTGTGTGTGTGTCCGTGTGCATGTGTGTGACAGGGTTTTTGCTCAGTTGTATGTTCCTGTATGAGCGAAACCCAAACCAGGGAAACACTGCCTTTGGGCTGCTTCGGGTGTTGAGGGGTCTGATCCCTCTGATAGAAACATTCTCACAGGGAAAATCCTCTTCCCTGTTCTTCATCCCTGTCTCCACATACCTCCTTATCTTTAGTGTTTCATGTTGTTCTTAAACCGCCCCCACACCACCCCGCCCCACGCCCTGTCTTTCTCCTTTGTCTGTGTGTGTGTGTGTGTGTGTGTGTGTATGTGTGTGGGGGCCAGTGTGGTGTGCAGGGGGTTTAATTAATTTAATTTATTTATTGGCGTTCACACCTCAAACCTTTACCCGTTTCTCTTGTTTATTTCTGTTTTTAGAAATCTGTCTTTCAGATTTTCCAGAAGGTAGGAAAACCCACTTCTCTCTCTTTCCCTCTCTCTCTCTCTCCCTCTCACCAATTCGTAGTGTGTTTCTGTGGCTGTTTACTAACCTCTCTGGCTGTCCCTGCTCTGTTTTGCTCTCAGCCGCCCCCAAACCGGTCTTGTTGCCTGACATCCTTCTCCCCCCACCCCTTCCCGTTCCATCCGTGTAAAAGGGGCTTTTTTTTAAGCAGTTGCATGTGTGCGGGGAGGAGGGGGTTTGGATTGTGCCAGGAATTTCCTCTCGTAGCAAAACCTGTAGCTCAGTGGTTAGAGCACTCGCCTCGCAAGCGAGAGGACCCGGGTTTCCCAGTTCGATTCCCAGGCGGGTCGGGGCGAAATCATAGGCAAGTTTCCTTACTCCACACATGCGCCTCTGGTTACCAGCAGGACTAGGATCCCACTTCACTTGTTAGTCGATGGACAGATCGCTTTTCAGGTGGTAATAATCCTTCAAAATAAATTATAATAATAATAATAATTTGGTCACTCAATCTACGACTGTTTGTGGGACAGTGCTGTGCGCCCGCAAAATATACAGTCACTCCACAGTGCATATGTGTGTTTGTGTGCGCACGTGCGTATATGTGCATCCGTCCGTATGGGGGGGGGTGGTGGTGTGTGAGGGTGTGTGTGTGTGTAGCTGTGTGTGTGTGTGTAGCTGTGTGTGTGTAGCTGTGTGTGTATGTGTGTGTAGCTGTGTGTGTGTAGCTGTGATTAAACCCACGTCTCATTGTGTTTTTTGAGGATGCCCCTTGAGGGAGAGAACAGAGAGCAATCTGAGGGCTCCAGGTGAGAGAAACACTGTCTATAAACCTTGGCCTCCTGTCCCCCTCCCCTCCCTGTCTACCTGTCCTCCCTCCCCACTCTTGAGTCTCTTCACCCCCCCTCCCACCCCTGCTCTGGGCCGAGATTTAATTGGGTTTCCTGGCTTGTTTTCTCTCGCTCTCTGACGCTCTCTGTCTCCAACTCCCTAGGGGTGTCTCTGTCAATTAACCTCCACTGTCAAAAGCGCAGACACCGTGGGGGGAGTGGGGAGAGAGCAGGGAATGGGGGTAGAGAAGAGAGCTCCAGTGGGGGAGGTGATGGTCAGCCAACAATATAATTTTTTTGATTGAATATTTCATGATTTTTTCCATAAATGTGAGTGTTAATGGCAAAGGCGTGTGGGAGAGAGGGTTAGAGACAGTGTGAGAGAGGGTTAGAGACAGTGTGAGAGAGGGTTAGAGACAGTGTGAGGCAAAGTGAGTCAGGGAGTGGGTTAGAGGCATAGATCAACAATAACAAAATGACATCTATAGAGCGCCTTTCATGTTGGGAGGACATCCCAAAGCGCTGAACAGTCAGGTGTCGGGGCCCGAGCCGGGGGGGGGGGGGGGGGGGAAGGGGTGGGGTAGCGGAGAGGGAAGGCAGAAAGGTGGGAGGGAGACCAAAGGCACGGTCGAAGAGGAGGGAGAGAGAGAGGGAGCATGTGAGAGAGAGGGAGAGAGCGTGTGGAAAAGTGAGAGAGAGAGGGAGTGTGAGAGAGAGAGCAGCGTGTGGGAGAGCGCGTGTGGGAGAGAGAGGGAGCGTGAGAGAGTGGGGGAGTGTGTGTGTGTGAGAGAGAGAGCGCAGTCACTTACAGCCATTCCCCGGCCGCTCGGCCGGCCTCTGTTTCAGGCCTAACCTGAGCGCGGAGCGAGACGACAACCGCGACTCGAAGCCTCGCTCTCTGCGCTTCACCTGGAGCATGAAGACGACGAGCTCGATGGAGGCCAACGAGATGATGAAGGAGATCAGGAAGGTGCTGGACGTGAACAACTGCGAGTACGAGCCCCGCGAGCGCTACATGTTGTTCTGTGTCCACGGAGATATGGCCAAGGACTCGCTGGTGCAGTGGGAGATGGAGGTTTGCAAACTGCCCAGACTCTCGCTCAATGGCGTCCGCTTCAAGCGAATATCGGGCTCCTCCATCGCCTTCAAGAACATCGCCTCGAAGGTGGCCAATGAACTCAAGCTGTAACTGGGGGAGCGAGCGGCAGAGAGAGAAACGCATTCCCTCCCTCCCTCCCTCCCTCCCTCTGCCTCACCCCCCCCTCCCCTCCTCCCCCAAAAACTCCAGCGATCACTGAGTTAAACCCTTCACCTTCTCCTCCGCTCTAACCCATCTCTCTCTCTCTCTCTCTCTCTCTCTCTCACTCCTCTCTCTCTCTCTCTCCCGTTTATTTTGTGATTTATTTTTTCCGTGTTGACGTAAGGTTTTTTTTTCCCCCTTTTTTTTTATTGTCGATGTTATTATTATTATTATCGTCTTTTACCGTGATTTATTTGTTTTGTACGTGGGTGAGACGTGTTTGTACATGTGTGTGTGTGTGCGTGGCGCAACATCTCTCCTACACACACACACACACACACTGTACGTGTCTCTCACACACGTGTCTCTCACACACGTGTCTCTCACACGCACACCGTTAGCAGCTGGTTTTGCTTTGAGAGCAAAATAAAGATATTAAAGAACATCAGTCATGATCTTCCCCTCCTCTCTCTTTTTCTCCGCTCCCCCCCCCCCCCTCCCTCTCTTGCCTCGCGTCGCTGTCTGTAAAATCGCTGTAACCTGTTATTAAGTAGAAAAGGGTTTTTATTTTCAAAACAGAAACCTATTTATTGAGTGTATTTTACTAACCTTATCCTGGAGCACTCCAGCCCGTCTGGGTTTAACTTTCTCCTGCCCGCCCTTCTCGGTTACCTCCCTCCCTCCATCCCCATCTCTCTGTTTCTCTCTCTTCCTCCCCCTCTTTCCCACCCTCCCTCCCTCCCCCCCTCTCTCTCTCTCTCTCTCTTTCCCCTTCTCTCCCTCTCTGTCAAAACGAGCAAACAAATGCAACAGGAAGAACACCCTGAAGCCCTCCCTTCCTATAACCCTTGCACGATCGGAGCTTAGTCACACTCGTTTACACTACTCCCTCGTACACTACTGACGCTTCACACAACCAATCGTGCCTCCCCCCCCCCCCCCTCCACTCTCACTCCTCGCCTCTCTCTCTCTCCCCACCCCACACCCCCGAGTTCAGTCAGTCCACACGTCATGTCTCTCCCTGTACATGTTCCTGTGTCACTGTTTGTTTCACATCTTAAAAAATTCCCAAACTTCCCGTGGCCGGGATTGGGATCAATCCCGACATCCCCAATCCCAGCCGTTAGTTACTGTACGCGGCTCAGCTATAAACCTCCGCACTCTCCGTCTGTGTATGTGTGTGTCTTTCTCTCTCGCTCTCTGTGTCTGGGTGTGTGTCTGTCTGTGTGTGTGTGTGTGTGTGTCTCTCTGTCTGTCTGGCCCTCTCTCTCTCTCTCTCTCTCAATATCTGTTCCTCTTTTTCTCTGTCTCTCTTTGTGTCTGTTCGTCTCACACTATGACCTTATGCCTCATGGTACAGTTTCTCCCCCCCCCCCCCCCCACTGCCCCATCGTTCGCTGCCTTCCCTGAGACACATCTGTGCGATGTGTGTTCCCTTCCCCCCTTCTCCCCGTTCCCAATCAGCTGAGGGGGAGGGTGCGTTTGTGGGGGGGGGGGAATGTTCCAAAACTCTTATTTTTTTTCTGTGGGAGAAATTGGAAAATATTTTTTATTTTATTTGTTCCTGTTTTCAGACACCACTTCTCTTTTTTTCCCCCTTCCCTCCTTCTATCTCTACGCCTCTTGCTCTTTCTGTCTCCTCCCCACCCACCACTACCACTCTCTCTCTCTTCCCCCCCCCCCCATCTTCCCTCCCTCATCTCTCTCTTCCCCCCTCTCTCCCCTCCCCTTCTCTCTTCCTCCCAAACCCCACTCTCTCCCCCCCCACCCCACCCCACCCTCTCTCCCTCACAGCCAGGTTATTGTGTTTGAGACAGAAAAAGAGCCTTGAATTCGATGCGGATTATGAATTATGTGGATTCTCTCTCTCTGAGACTTCTTTTAGCCAAGTTAATAATGTCATTTAGAAAATCCCAGAGTATTAAATAATTGCTTTACAAGTGACGACTCTTTGTGTTGTGCCACGAAAACCCCCTCCTCTCCTCTCCCCGTCTTCCTCCTTTACCCCTTTCACCCTCTCCCTCCTCCTCCCTTCTCCCCCACTCCCGCTTCCCCCTTTTCAACCACCTCCGCTGGGTTTCAGTGGGCATTTACTGAATAACTGTGGAGTCCTGTAGCTCAGTGGTTGCAAAGCGAGAGGACCTGGGTTTGATTCCCAGGTGGAATCAGGGTGAAACCTTAGGCAAGTTTCCTTACTCCACACACACACACACACACCTCTGTTTATCAGCAGTCAGCAAGAACCCGATTGTTAGTTGATCGTGGATCGCTTTTCCAGGAGTATTAATCCCTTAAAAAAAATAAGAATTGATCACTCAATCCATGACTGTTTTTGGGGACGTTGCTGTACGCAATTGGCTGCCACGTTTCGCCCACACAGTCAATTCACTTTACAGTGTATCCTGTGAAGCGCTTTTGAGACGTCGCGAAGACGTGATAAGGCGCTGTATCAAATGCAACGATTATTATCATCTCGTACGCACTCCTGTGTTTTAAATTGACCAGAGAAACGATCAGAGAGCCAAACTGTACAGGATTGAAGTCAGGGGCAGTTTTTCACCCAAAGGGAGAGGCAGTTGGATCGGTTTCTGAAAAGGAACAATGTGCGGTAAGAGTGGGGGAGTGGGATTCGTGTTTGCTCTTTCAAAGAGCCGGTACAGACCCGATGGGCCGAATGGCCTCTTCCTGTGCTGTAAAATTCTTATGATTTCCTGAGGGTATGGGACCAGTTTCTCCCACAGGAATTATGCTCCTGAGCAAGCAGCGGGAAAGCTTGGCCAGACAGCTCTCTCTCTCTCTCTCTCTCTCGATGGACAAGCTGCGTGTGGGTTTAGCTGGTTAGACCCCAGGAGTTACCCCCAATGCTCCCCCCAGCCTTGGCTCTCGCCCAACCTGCGCCTAATACTCTCCGGAATTAGGTAAGCAGACTGGTCCTGTCTACACAATCCCAACTAAAACAAATATAAATAAAACCCTGTGTGTGTATGTGCGGGACAAGTGAATGTAGGCAAACACGCCAGCGTGTGCATGTGAGAGCCGGGATGCACGGCGTGAATGTGAGTGTGCGAGCGGGTGGGTGGGGGGGTGATGCTGTGTGGTGTGTGCGGCCATGGGTACAAACTGTGGACACAACGGGTGTGACCAGGTGTATGTGGTGTGTGCGCTGTGTCTCTGTGCCGCCTGTAAGATTATATCAAATGTTAACCTTTGAGTTCTTTCTGTTTTAAGTTGGTTTAGATCTAAAAATAAACTCAATTGTTTTTCTTTCGTGGCTTTGCCTCTTTGCTCCCACACGTGTCTGTGTATAATCCCGGTTTCCTGTCTCTCTCTGCACTGTTTCTCTATCTCCCCCCCCCACCCCACCCCCCCCCACCCCACGAAATGTACATAGCTTTTTAACATCCTGAAATCCACCGTTTCCTCTCACAGAATCAGCATTACAATCCTCGCATTGGAAACAGCGCCTTGGCTCGTCTTCGCGACGTCTCAAAGCGCTTCACAGGATACACTGTAAAGTGCACTGACTGTGTATTTTGTGGGCGAAACGCGGCGGCCGATTGCGCCCAACGACGTCCCCACAAACAGCCGCGGATTGAGGGACCACAGAGAGATCCCACCAATTGACCAACAACCGGGTTCCTACTGACTGCTGGTAACCAGAGGCGTGTGTGTGTGTGTGTGTGTGTGTGTGTGGAGTAAGGAAAGTCGCCTAAGGTTTCGCCCTGACCTGTCCCACCTGGGAATCAAACCCAGGACTTATCGCTTGCGAGGCGAGGGCTCTAACCTGAGCTACAGGTCTCCACATTATTGAGGGGAATTTGTTGGGCCGAGAGCGAGAGAGAGAGAGAGAGAGAACTTCGCTGTGTAAACGCGACAGCGAGCGCGAGAGGAAAATGAACATGAACCACAAACCAAACGAAATCAGCGACTAGTAAAATACTTTATTCAAATCCTCTCTGTGACAATCTGTGATCACGGGACACTCTGAACAGACTAACCAACTATTTCCGGGGATGGGGTGGGGGTGGGGGGAGGAACGGAACGGAGACGGGGTTTAGAGGAGGTGGTGGGGGGGCGGAAGGAAGAAAAGAAAATGCTACTTGTATTTCATTTCCATCACAAACTTAAGCCCCTCCAAACCCCCAAAATAATTCAGTATGAGATAGAAAAAATGAACAATAAACCACCCCAAAAAAATAAGTTATAAAAGAAATCTTGTCACATAACGTCTCTCTCTCTCTCACTCTCTCTCACTCTCTCTCACTCGCACTCACTCGCGCACTCACACGCGTACGATACGCTAGAATATAAACACCACAAACTACGCGACGTTGAGCTAATACTGAGACGAACTGAGTCACAGAGCGGATTCTCTCGCACACGAAACACGCGCACCACACGCACTGAGGTCCTGACGGTGATCGGGGGGGGGAAAGAGAAACTCGGGACAAACACAGTCTAGTATTTGACTGGACTCTCGACTGGGTTTATGTGGGGGGGGGGGGGGGAGTGAAGGGGTGGGTGACGTGAGGGGGGGATTATCCATACACAACACACACAATTGTATGGGTGGGTTTCTCTTTACCCCTCTATTCCCCCCTCTCCACCCACACCCAATGCTTTGCGCAAGGAATTCTCCCCCTATTCACACATCACGCACACTCCACCACCTCCCCCCAACCCCCACACACAATGTGCACACACTTGCCCCCACACTCCCCCCTCCCGCATAATGCGCACACGCACACTCTCCCCCCACCCCCCCCTATACACACACACACACCACACGAGAGAGATCAGCCATTGGAAGAATTTGATGTGTTTATTGTTTTAGTGTCTTTGAAACACAGCCTAAGCTTCCCTACCCCCACACACTCCCCCACCACCCCCACACACTCCCCACCACCCCACACACTCCCCACACCCACACACTCCCCACACCCCCACACTCACCCCCACCCACACACAACCCCCCCACCACCACCCATCCCGCAAACAACACACACTCACCCCCACACCCACAGCCCCTCCTAAACACACACACATCTCTCTCTGCTAATTGGGAGTCTATCCCAGTCCCCCCCCCCCCCATCCCACCCCAAAAACAAACAGCACCAAAGGTGGGTTCACACGCACATCTGTACATGCATCTGTACACATGTACTCACACACACACGTGCTCACACACACGTGCTTACACACACACGTGCTCATACACACATGCTCACACACGCACACATGCTCACACGTGCACACAGAGGCTCACACGTGCACACAGAGGCTCACACGTGCACACAGAGGCTCACACGTGCACACAGAGGCTCACACGTGCACACAGAGGCTCACACGTGCACACAGAGGCTCACACGTGCTCACACACACAAAGTTAAAAAGCTAAAACTCTTGTTTAAAAACTAAGACTTTAAAATTAGTGTATGAGCACTTGTCTGTGTGTGAGTGAGTGAGTGTGTGTGTGTGTGGGGAAGTGTTGTGTGTGGGAGTGTGTGTGTGTGGGAGTGTCTGTGTGTGGGGAAGTGTGTGTGAGAGGGGGGAGAGGCAATAGTTAACCTGTCCTCTCTCTCCACTGCTCTTTCGTGGGAGGTGGGGGGGGGAGATTGCAGAGGAGGGGAAGGGGTCTGACTGGGGTGAAGGAGGTTGAGGAGGGGGGTCTCAGTGGGTGGGGCCGGGGGAGGGTCGAGGGGAAGCCCAATCAGGGTGGGGAGGTGGGCGCTGAGGGAGGGGAGGAGGGGGCGGGGGCGTGGCGGGCGCTGGCGATGGCCGGCCGGATGAGGGGGGGAGGGGGCTGGTTGAGGGAGGGCCGGGATTGGAGGAAGCGGCCCTGTTGGAGGGGGGGCGGCTGGCGGAGGAGTGCGGGGGCCGTGGGCAGGACTGGCCGTAGAAGGGGTGGGGGCTGAGACAGGGGGGGCGGAGTCAGAGAAACCTGGGCCGACGGGACAGCCAATGGCAGCAGCTGAATCTGCGAGAGAGACAGAGACGTCAGCCAATCACAGCGCAGCAAAGCTCATAACATAATATGACTTACACAGAGTTAAATATGACTTACACAAAGTCCAAGCTGCGAAGATAATATATAACAAAATAACACCATAACCATCACCCCGGGGTCTGACCCGGCGCCTCATTACGTCGTCGAGGGGGTCTAACCCCCTGACTTTTGGGGTGTGGACAGACGGACGGAGTCACAGACGGGCAGAATAGTCTCACCTCCTCCTCCGGCTCCTCGGTCTCTTGGTCCTCCTCGCCCTCGCTGCTGGCGAGGGAGGGGCTGGGGCTCTTGCCCCCCCCAAGCCCCTCCCCGAGGCCCAGCCCCTCCCCCAGCCCGAGCTCCTCCCCCAGGCTGCCAGGGGGGCCTTGTTCCGCCTCCCACTCCTGGAGGACCTCATGCAGGTTGAAGCGTCGCCGGTAACTGATGCAGAAGGTCTTGACCTGAGCCACCGTCTTGTTCCCGATCACCTCCGCAATGGCCTGGAAATTCCGGCCGTATTTCCGGATTCCTGACGGGAAAAGGGTTGACATCATCATCGACGTTACCGGAACCCCAGAGCCCACAAAACACAAGGTCACTACACTTTACAGTGTTGCCCGTGAAGCGCTTATAATAAATAATAATAATAATCGTTGCATTTGATATAGCGCTTTTCACGTCGGGAGGACGTCCCAAAGCGCTTCACAGAACACACTGTAAAGTGAATTGACTGTATATTTGTGGGCGAACGCGGCAGCCAATTGCGCACAGTAATGTCCCACAAACAGTCGTAGATTAAAAATGACCAATTTATTATTGTTTTGTTTTGGAGGTATTATTATTAGGCTCTGTGTGGAGTAAGGAAACTTGCCCGAGGTTTCGCCCTCTGCCTGGAATTGAACTCAGGTCTCTCACTTGCAAAGCGAGTGCTCTAACCACTGAGCCACAGGACTCCACCTGAGCTACAGCACTGATTGCAATACCACAAGTGAAACCAATACAACACGGTTTTACAGCTCAAATAGGTGGTTCCTATTGGTGACCGAGACTTCACGGAGAAACACGAGTATAAGACAGTGACTGGAGGATTGAAATGAGAATTTAGAAGGAACTTCTTCAGACAGAGGGCAACACTATGCAGAACTCACTCCCACAAGTGGCAATTGAAGCAGATAATACAGATAGATTTACATAATAATTATAATCCTTGCATTTGATATAGCGCTGTTCACGTCGGGAGGACGTCCCAAAGCACTTCACAGAACACACTGTAAAGTGAATTGACTGTATATTTGTGGGCGAACGCGGCAGCCAATTGCGCACAGCAATGTCCCACAAACAGTCATGGATTGAAAATGACCAATTTATTATTGTTTTTGTTTTGGAGGGATTATTATTAGGCTCTGTGTAGAGTAACGAATCTTACCCAAGGTTTCGCCCCGACCTGACCCGCCCGAGAATTGAACCCGGGACCTCTGGCTTGCGAGGCGAGGGGTCTAACCCCTGAGCTACAGGGGCTGTGGGGCGAGGCGAGGGGTCTAACCCCTGAGCTACAGGGGCTGTGGGGTGCGAGGCGCGGGGTCTAACCCCTGAGCTACAGGGGCTGTGGCTTGCGAGGCGAGGGGTCTAACCCCTGAGCTACAGGGGCTCTACATTAAGCAATCTGTGCAACCTCGTGCCTGGGAGGTGGTGAAGGCGATCACTGAGCTGCGCTGCGCTGTCTCCCCACAGAGATTACAATGGTCGCACCTTGAACAGCTAAGAGTTGCTCCTCTGTTGTCCAGCGGGAGTTGAATTTGGGGATGAGCTGCATGTGGTCGTGTGCGTCGGGGGGGGTGGGGGGGGGTGGGTGAAGGGTGTGGGGTGTGGGGGGGGTAGAGAGAGAGACAGACAGTAAATGATCAGAGTATCCACCGCACACACCACCCCTCACCCTTACCCTCACCCTTCCTGGTCACGGTGACGGGTTTCTGTGTGTGTCTGACTCCGGCGTCAACCGCAAAGGCTAAGAAAAAACTCTCTCTTTCTTCTCTTCCCCCCACCCCTCCGCCCCCCCCCCCCCCCACACACACACACACACACACACAATCTCTAGGGTTAACGTGGAGGACACTGGGGGGAGGGGGGGGGGAGAGAGAGGGTGGTGGGGGGGGCTCCTACCTCGGGCGGTCTCAGCTTGTCAATCCCTCCACACAAGGTCTGTTTCAACGAACTGTTAATTTGCTTTATTGTCTGTACCTGTGGGCGGGGGGGGGGGGGGGGGGATGAGTGGGAGAGGGGTGGGGGAGAAGGTGTGGTGGGGAAGTGAGTGGGGGGTGGGGGAGAGTGAGTGGGGAGGTGGATGGAGGTGGGGGGGGAGTGGGGGGGCAAAAGGAACAGAACACAGGTACATCACTAACAACCCTTGTTCGGTGGTTGTGTGAGCGCGAGTGCGTGTGTGCGCGTGTGGTACGTATGTGAGAGAACGTCTGTGTGTGTGTGTGTGTGTGATGTATGTGCTGTGTGTGTGTGTGACATGCGTGTGCTGTTGCGGTACCTGGCGTTTGATGGAGATGAGCTGGGAGTCGAGCTGCCGGAGGGAGATGCCGGAGGCGTTGGGGTTGGCGGAGACTCCGGCCACTTCCTCTTGGCTCAGGTACATGTCTCTGGGCGGGCGTCGCTTTGAGCGCGGGGGGTGGTGCCGGTATTGGCTGCTCTGGGACTCGCGCTTCACCAGCACCGTCTTCCCGTTCACCGGTCTCAGCTCCCCGGGGCGCTGCGGGGGGGGGGTGGGGTGCGGGGGGGGGAACGGAGAGTGAGACAGAGAAACAGATACTACTAATAAGACCCCCGGGGTGTGACCCGGCGCCCGATCACGTCTTCGAGACGTCTCAAAGCACTTCACGGGACACACTGACGAGTGTAGTGACTGTGTGGTAGCCAATCGGGGGAGGGCCTGGGCGGGGGGGGGGGCGGGGGGGGGGGGGGCTTACCCTGCGTCTCTCACTCTCTCCGGCCTCTCGTTTCACGTCAGGTTCGTAATCGCTGTCGTCAGCGATGGGTACAGCCCCGTCCTCCAGTTCATCATTACTGCAGCACACACAGGGTCAGCCCCCCCGCACACACACCCGCCCCCCACACTGCCCCCCCCACGACACACACCCCCACCACTCTGCCCCCCACCCACACACCCCCACACTGCACCCCACCCCACACACACAACCCCAACTCCCCGTCCTCCAGCTCATCATTACTGCAGCACACACAGGGTCAGACCCCCACACACACCCCCCGACGCCCACACTGCCCCCCCCTCGACACACACCCCCACCCCAACGCTGGGGGAAGCGAGGTGGGGTGGGTGGGGGGGGGGAAGTGTACACACCTGTCCTCTCGCTCTTTCTTGTGAACTAGTTTGCGAGCTTGTCTGTCCATCACACTCGTTCGACTGCGAGTTTTCTTCCAGGAATAATAATATTTCACCAGACTGGATATCAGCTTATCTGGGAGCTGGGGAGAGAGAGGGGGGTGGGGGAGAGAGGGGGGTTGCGGGGGGAGGGGTTGCGGGGGGAGGGGTTGGCGGGGAGAGAAGGGGGAAAGGAAAAGGCGCCGTTTACATTGTATCTCAGAGACGTTCTCAAAAATAGAAGAGATTTTTATTCTTCGATATAATTATTTCAGCACTTTCCGTGGTTCCGAATGTTGAGCTCTATCCCCGTTATTCTGAGAGAGAGAAAAGAAAACAAAGGGTTAAACAGCGACACTCACTCTCTCGCTCTCTCCCCCCATCCCTCTCTCTCTCCGCTTTTCCCCCTTTATTCTCTCTCTCCTCTCTCTCTCTCTCTCTCGACGAAGAGCCTCGACACCTCCAACGCATCTCACGGGTCTCCGGGCGACAACAACATAATATATAATAATAATAATAATAATATAAACAACAGTCCTCGCGTTCACTGTTGTCTTCGACGCGTCTCGAAGCGCTTCGCGGGATATACGCCCGAAGGTGTAGGGACTGGACGGGCGTTTGTTTCGTGGGTGAATCTCGCGCCGTCGTGTAGTGACTGCCTGTTTTGGCGCCGGACGGTCAGGGTTTGGGACCCGAGCTGGACAGGGGGGGCCTGGATCAGGAGGGGCGGGGAGGGGTGCGGGGAGGGGTCGGAGGGTAACCGAAGGCGCAGTCGGTCGAACAGGGCTTGAAGGCGGCGAGGGAGCGAGGGGAGGGAGGGAGGGAGGGAGGAAGCGAGGGGAGGGATGGAGGGAGGGAGGGAGGGAGGGAGCGAGGGGAGGGAGGGAGCGAGGGAGTGAGGGGAGGGTGGGAGCGAGGGGAGGAAGGGAGGGAGGGGATGGAGGGAGGGAGGGAGCGAGGGGAGGGATGGAGGGAGGGGAGGGAGCGAGGGGAGGGAGGGAGGAGCGAGGGGAGGGAGGAGCGAGGGGAGGGAGGGAGCGAGGGGAGGGAGGGAGCGAGGGGGATGGAGGAAGGGGAGGGAGCGAGGGGAGGAGGGAGGGAGGGAGCGAGGGGAGGAGGGAGTGAGGGGAGGGAGGGAGCGAGGGGAGGGAGGGAGGGGAGGGAGGGAGCGAGGGGAAGGAGGGAGCGAGGGAGGGAGGGAGCGAGGGAGTGAGGAGGGTGGGAGCGAGGGGAGGAAGGGAGGGAGGGGATGGAGGGAGGGAGCGAGGGAGGGATGGAGGGAGGGGAGGGAGCGAGGGGGAGGAGGGAGCGAGGGGAGGAGGGAGCGAGGGGAGGGAGGGAGCGGGAGGGAGGGAGCGAGGGGAGGAGGGAGCGAGGGGAGGGATGGAGGGAGGGAGGGAGCGAGGGAGGAGGGAGGAGCGAGGGGAGGGAGGGAGTGAGGGGAGGGAGGGAGCGAGGGGGAGGGAGGGGAGGGAGGAGCGAGGGGGAGGGAGCGAGGGAGGGGACGAGGCGGAGGGGCAGAGAACGGAGACTCACTTTCTGTGCTCACACAGTTTGCAGATATTCTCGTACGTGTTTCCGTCAGTGCCACACACAGGTCTGAGCTCTCGCACACACACAGTGTCGTACTCACAGTCCGCCTGAACGAGGAAAACACACACGAGATCACAAGCTCGGGAGGGGAGGGGGTGCGGAGGGGGAGGGGGAGGGGTGGGGGCGGGGAGTGGGAGGGGGTGGGGTGGGGAGTGGGAGATGAAGAACTTCCCCCTCAGCCCATTTCATCTCATCTTATCCCTGGCTCAGTCACTTTCTTTCTCTCTCTCTCGCCTCCGAGTCAGGAGATTGTGGGTTTGAGCCCCATCACACACACACGCACACACACACACACACGCACATGGGGGTCTTAGAGCTCACAATACAGGTGGGGGGGAGACAGAGAGAGAGAGAGAGAGAGAGAGAGAGAAAGAGGGATTTCATTACTGTTTGGATCTTATACCCTAAACACTCACCGGCCAAGCAAAGTTGTGCAAACTGGGAGCTGCAGCCAAGTCTGAAATAAAATACAAGTGACAGGACCTTGAAATCAATGTGTTGTGTGATAGGGAGCCAGTGGGGGCCGGCGAGGGCCGGGGTGATGGGGTACAGGGGTTAGTGTGTGAGGGAGAGCCAGTGGGGGCCGGCGAGGGCCGGGGTGATGGGGTACAGGGGTTAGTGTGTGAGGGAGAGCCAGTGGGGGCCGGCGAGGGCCGGGGTGATGGGGTACAGGGGTTAGTGTGTGAGGGAGAGCCAGTGGGGGCCGGCGAGGGCCGGGGTGATGGGGTACAGGGTGTAGTGTGTGAGGGGGAGCCAGTGGGGGCCGGCGAGGGCCGGGGTGATGGGGTACAGGGTGTAGTGTGTGACAGGGAGCCAGTGGGGGCCGGCGAGGGCCGGGGTGATGGGGTACAGGGCTGGCGAGGGCCGGGGTGATGGGGTACAGGGTTTAGTGTGTGCAGTGGGGCCTGGTGAGGGCCGGGGTGATGGGGTACAGGGGTTAGTGTGTGAGGGGGAGCCAGTGGGGGCTGGCGAGGGCCGGGGTGATGGGGTACAGGGTGTAGTGTGTGAGGGGCCAGTGGGGCCGGCGAGGGCCGGGTGATGGGGTACAGGGTGTAGTGTGTGAGGGGGAGCCAGTGGGGGCCGGCGAGGGCCGGGTGATGGGGTACAGGGTGTAGTGTGTGATAGGGAGCCAGTGGGGGCCGGCGAGGGCCGGGGGGGGATGGAGTGGTGGGTGAGGGGGAGCCAGTGGGGGCTGGCGAGGGCCGGGGTGATGGGGTACAGGGGTTAGTGTGTGAGGGGGAGCCAGTGGGGGCCGGCGAGGGCCGGGGGGGGGTAGGGAGGTGTGGGTGAGGGGGAGCCAGTGGGGGCTGGTGAGGGCCGGGGGGGGTGATGGAGGTGTGGGTGAGGGGGAGCCAGTGGGGGCTGGTGAGGGCCGGGGTGATGGGGTACAGGGTTTAGTGTGTGAGTGGGAGCCAGTGGGGCCGGCGAGGGCTGGGGGGGGGGGGAGGGAGGTGTGTGTGAGGGGGAGCCAGCGGGGGCTGTGAGGGCCGGGGGGGTGAGGGAGGTGTGTGTGAGGGGAGCCAGTGGGGGCTGGTGAGGGCCGGGGGGGTAGGAGGTGTGTGTGAGGGGGAGCAGTGGGGCTGGTGAGGGCCGGGGGGAGGTGATGGAGGTGTGGGTGAGGGGGAGCC